CAATCCAGTAGACGAATACGGTCGCGCAATACGCCAAACAGACGAGTATGGTAATCCAATCCCTCAAACTGGTACTACCACTGCATACGGTGGCGCACCAGAGACTGGTACTACTGGCCTTGGCATGGGACACCGCCAAGAACACTACGGAGAGTCTGGTCAGCTTCACCGTTCTGGCTCCTCCAGCTCTAGCTCCGTAAGTTAAAATATTACTCTGAAAATTTATCATGCGTAATTTTTTTTTAATTAACACTTTCATCTTGCTATTTTTAAAAAATAAATTGCAATCACGTCTTTTACTTTTGCTATAAGCTTACCATCAGGTTCTTTCGTTTCGTTAAAAAAGTTAGAAACATGTTTGTTTATATGGAAAACCTAATCTGCAGTCTGAAGATGATGGACATGGTGGAAGGAGGAAGAAAGGGCTAAAAGAAAAGATAAAAGAGAAGCTACCAGGTCATCATAAGGAAGAAAGAACTCAAGCAACCTCAGCTACAACTCCAGGTGGTTATCATTCAGCTGAGTATGGCCATGATCATGAGAAGAAAGGAATAATGGATAAGATTAAGGAGAAGCTTCCTGGCTCCCACCACCACGAGCACCACTAGGTGTTCTTTAATACTCTACTTAATAATGTATTATACGCACGCAATGCCCTTATTTGTTATGTTGTGTGGCTGATTTGCTTTTTATCGATCAGTTTGTAATAGGGTGATGTGTGGCTGGTTGAGCTTGCATCCCCAAGTGTGTTGGAGCTTTGGTTTGTGTGTTTAAGAAGGACTTCTGTCTTCTGTTTGGAGAAATGTAATAACAAAATTTGGGATTTACTGTAATACTTTTCTGGAAACATAGCAGCCATAGAAGCAAATATGTAGTTATGTAGTGTTGTGAACCTGGAGTGTGATGTAGCGAACGCGGGAAATTCATTACATTTGCAAGTTGCTTTCATTTTAGTTATTAGGTGAAATCTATCCATCAGTCTTAATCCTTTTTTTTTTTTTTTGAAAAATTAGATTTTTTGTTTTTGGTAATTCGTGTGTTTATTTATGAATTTTTTTAAATTTTGATAGAATTGCTTGCTCAAATATAATTTTTTAAGTATTTATTTATATCCAACGCGTAAACGAATTCCATAAGAGAAATTTATTAGTTTCAACGTTTGTTTTTGTTTTTTGAAAATATTATTAATACCATTTATATTTTATATTTTGCAAACGTCAAATAACTTTGTACTGTATACGCATTTTTTATTTGATTTATTTTTTTAATTCCCAACCATATTAAGTAATTTTATTTAAGATTTTATAATTTTATTTAAGATTTTATAAGTTTTTTGACGATACTCATTATATTTTAATTTTTTATACTATTTTAATTTTTTATACTTTTTTAATATATAGGTACAGTAAGGAACTGTCTTTTCTTTTGAATATTATTCATTAAATTAGCGATAAAATTTGTAGCGGAGAACTCGAGTCTCTTACTTTTTACATTTTTTTACAAAAGGTAGGAAAGACTAATCAAACCACTCTTATTTGGCACTTGCAATATTATTTCTTATGTACTTGATTTACTATTTTAATTTTTTATACTTTTTTAATATATAGGTACAGTAAGGAACTGTCTTTTCTTTTGAATATTATTCATTAAATTAGCGATAAAATTTGTAGCGGAGAACTCGAGTCTCTTACTTTTTACATTTTTTTACAAAAGGTAGGAAAGACTAATCAAACCACTCTTATTTGGCACTTGCAATATTATTTCTTATGTACTTGATTTTATTTTTATATAATGAAATAGTCTCAAAATAAAGTTTAATCTAATCTTTATATTGATTGAGTCATTAATTTACAAATAAAGATTTTTAGCTCTGACAGGTGTTCAAAAAGAAAATCAAATTTTCACTTAATCTCTGACCCTTATCGTCATTCCAAATTAATATTTATATACGGCTATAATGAAAAATGATAATAATTTTTTTTTACTGGTAAGTAAAAGAAAAATCAATATTTATATACAGTTATAATGAAAAATGATAATAAATTTTTTTTTATTGGTAAGTAAAAGAAAAGAAATGAGAAGATGATTTGAATTAATAACGATAATCATTTTGGCTATAATGATTGTATTACTTACTCAATGTTTTATAGAGAGGAATATATGAGTATACACACAAACTCTTCAAATCCAAAAGATAATCCAAAATATAAATATATAGTTCTAATTTTTTTCAATTTCATAAACACTATTTTTTTTAAGTCAAATATATCCAGGATTATAAAAGAAAAAATATGAAGAAAATTAAAAATATCAAAAAAATTAAAAATTATATGAGACCATCTATTTATTGCAAGGGAGATATAAATCTCTTGCTAAATTGAAGTGATAGTGGTCACAAATTACTTCAATAATAAAAAAAAGAAAATAAAAACAACAAATTTTATTAAGAATAAAACTCTTTTAAAAACTCAATATATAACAAGAAATAAATTATATTAAAAAAATTACCAATTTTAATTTCAAAAATAACTCAGAAAATGCTATAATTTAATTAAATTTGATTTTGATGGACAAAAAAAAATTCAAGCCAATAAATGAAAAGTAAAATGCAAATCATGCTAGGGTTCAATATCAGTGAATTAATGAGTTTATTGAAATATTTTGTTTCTCTATTGTCTAAGTTGCAATTTAAAATAAATAAATAAGGCAATTAATAAAAAAAAGATTACATAAAATAAATGTTACATCCTCTCCGAATAAATTTCAATTTTTCCAACAACATACAAAAAAAAAGAAGAGCATATTTTTTTTCTTTTTTATTATATATATTCATTTATTTAAAAAATAATTTTAGAAATTATATCCAATTAAATAATATTTTTTTTCTCTTAACCACAGGTGTCCCAAATCCATTAGGCTAAAACTAGATCCTGCTTGCATTAGGTCGGTCCGAGAAAAGATAAAGTGTTTCTAAGGAGTATTTGCTCTATTTATAAAGATCGAAACCTTAGCATCACCTAAGAGAGAAATCACTCATTCATACACTTACTGATATGAAAATGTAATTTTTGAATTACCTACGACTAAGACTATTTTAAGATATTCTAAATTTCACCAAGGACGATATCAGAAATTCTATTTTCCCCTATTCCCATATTTCTATTCCCACATTTATATATAGCATAGACAGATTATAAGTTGAAATCTCAAAACAATTGGCCCTTCAACTGTAGCATTTACAGATAGTCCACAAATTTGATTAAAATTTCCAAAACATAAATAGAAGTCTCATTTTCTACGATCTAAATACTCTCTTCTACCGCAGGATAGATGCATTTGTCAATTCTATTCCTATTTCTTAATTCCATTTTTCAATCCTCCCTCCTATCATCTCCCTTAATTTTTTTTTTTAAAAAAAAATATCTAGTGGAAGTTGAGGCTTTTATTTGGACCAGAATTGCACATTCCGAAACCTTCACCATGTTAATTACTATCAAGCGCATTGAGGTAATCTGAACTCTGATAGCACGTTTAACTCTATATCTTTCAGATTGAACAACCTAGCTCACTTGACTTGAGACCCAACGTGTTACACTAAAATATTTCCTCAAAATAACATGCATTTCCTATTTTCATCAACCCAAATAGCAAACCTAAAAGAATCCACCAAAGCATCGTCTTGACATATACCTTTTATATAAGACTATATGTAAACAAACAACAAAGATGATTTCTCCACTTACATGATTTACAGCTCTAGTACAAAGTCAGCCAGGAAGTGCAACTTTTGGCCATAACTATAGAAAATCTATACGCATCTCGTTTAGTTCATTCTGTTTTAGAGACACAAGCTGAAAAATGCAATTCAGTATAAACCTATGCGCAGCTCAGATTTAAAATGTGATTATGAATGGTTATGGCCCTTGGAGTTGCTCAATACTTCCTGCAGTACCATAGCGATTCTATGTGCCATGTGATGTTCTAAAAACATTTGTTTGACCCTTTGATAGCCTCTTTTCCCCATTGTCAGCCTTGTCTGCACATGAGTGGCAAGTTTGACCATATTTTTCGCAAGGGGAGTAACACCTTCTTTTCCGACAGGGTGCAATAAACCTGTTGTCCCATTTACAACAATCTCAGTGGTGCCACCTGCTGCCGTTCCCTGGAATCAATATTCATCCAAATCAGCAGTTAAGTTCAACATTAAAATCCAGCTGCAATATATAGAAAAAAAAAAATGGATAGAACTTGTACGTATTTTAAGAAAAAAAAAGCCACCACATTTATTATGAAATTTTATCAGGATCACATCCAATCCCTTACCAATACAGGCAACTGAAATGCCATGGCTTCAATGGTTATTCTGCCAAAGCATTCTCCCCGTGCCTACATAAATTAATATAATTACAGTAAGTTCTTAGCAAAGCAAATGCAACGTTGAAGAATATCCAAAGAAAGGCAATCAGAAGAACAAAAAAGATACATTAACAAAATTCTAATGTCAGGTTTAAGATTTATACAATATATAAAACAAGATGTCTGTGAAGAAAATGTTATATGCCTTTTTATGCATCACATGACATGATAAATCTAAGCAACTCACAAGGCAGCTTCCCTTTTAGCAAAGTGAGACCTTTATATTCTATTGTTCTATAAGATTTTGCAACAAAACGTTGCCTTTTAAAATCATTTATGGCAATAATGTACTCAACCGGCTTGAAAGTTAAGCATCCATGAATTTAGGAAGTGCCAAAGGAAAACCTTGATTTTTGAATAATGGCCAAGGTTTTCTTGCCTCAACACTGTAGAACGAGACCATTTCATTACAAGCACAAAATTGGCAAAACTAACATAACCCAACCCTCTTAAGACAGCAGTGTTACAGATCCTGATCCCTTCCAAGAACAAATTTTTTCAAAGCATTAGCTAATGACTCTACAAAATTAAGGATATCCTAATATTAACTCTACCTAGATCAGATTTTGATTTGATGTCAAATTAGTCGGCATTTCCAAATGAGATATTTAAGGGAAGAGGATGTAGGGAGACACACAAGGGATTGTTGGCCAGCAACAAATAAGCCAATTCTGTATGAAAGATGTTTGTCTGACGTAGCAAAATACTACTTAATACCGAACAAAAACACGAAAACGCCATAATAACTAACTTAATTTGGGACCACAATTGAGTTGAATTGAACATATCCACCCTAGATTTTTAATAGAGATTGCTGACTGACCAACAAATGTGAAAAATTACAAATTATTGAAAAGGTCCCAAGGCACACACAAGATTAGAGACTGTATAAAGGAAGAAACAAAAGGATAAGAGTAATAAACTCCAAGAAACTACCTGCGAATTCTGAACAAGAACATCAACTGCAGCTAGATAAGGAGCTACAGTAAGAGTTTTATTCACAAAGTGAACACGATCTTGAAGCTTTTTCTGGATCACATAGTCCCGTAATTCTGTCTCGAACTTGGTCTGAGCAGTCACGTCACTGCCCACAATTACTGCATGCACTGATGGCACCTGCAGCTTCTTCCCTTGGATCAACTGCAAGCTCTCATAGAAAGAACGTAAAAATAGATCCTGTCCTTTTCCACGTGAAACACCTGGAATGATATGATATGATATGATTATTAATCAGGCCATAAATAGGTAAGAACTGGGTTGCCAATATTGAAAGACAATAAAACAGAAACATCTAAAGAGCAGTTATAATTCTAGGGTAATTAATAATAAAAATCATAACAATAAAGGAAAAGGAGATAGATTCCAATTTTATCGGGTAAAAAGATTAGAACTGGGTGGAATGATATCATATGATTATTAGTCAAGAAATAAATAGGTAAGAATTGGATTGCCAATATTGAAAGACACTAAACAGAAACATCTAAAAGCAGTTATGATTAGAGTAATTAATAATAATAATGAAAACAATAAAGGAAAAGGAAAAAGATTCCAATGTTATGGAGCAAAAAGATTAGAACTGGGCAACAATTTTTGGCATCGTCTTTGACATTGATCAGGACAAAACTGGATAATGCATTTGAAGTACAGAAGTGATTACATAGTGAAGAACATAAATTTGGAGTCAGAAGTGCATATGATATCATTAGCATGCAAACCATACTGTTAATTATTGCAAAGAGTATATCTTCATCTCGCACTCCAAGAGACTCTCGAATGTGTTCGCGCAAAACCCTTTTTGCGACACTATCTTCAGCAACTTCCATGAGTTCATTGCTATTTCCAAGCTGAACAACATAGGTTGCAGGCATTTTAATCCTACATAGAGAATATAACAATTATCAAAAGTGAAAGACATATGGTATACAAATTTTAAATTTTGAATACTCAAATTGGAAAATGAAGAAAAAATTTCATTAGATCAAAAGTTAATAAATGCTTGGAAAATACTGAAACTTAAACAATGAGACTTAGGTACCAAAGCAGCTGGAAATGAACTGAAAAAGAGGAAAGATACAACAATTTTACTTCGGAAAATTCTTTAAGAGGAGTAGTTATTACATGTCTTTTTCTAAAATGGCTAGATTCCTACAATTTGGATGACATAGAGTGATAATCGAGATCACTAGTTATTGCCAACTATAAGAGAACTATTAATGGCAGTTGTTCGCAACATTGCGAAAATCCCGAACACGCCATCAGAGAATGATGTAAAAAATAAATAAATATTTCTTAAAAAAAATAAAAATGGAGTCCCCTCCTCCTGATGTATTTTAAAAGGCTTAGTTGGAAACCTTTAATAGGAACGGTCTTTAAACCAATCTTCGGTTCAGGACTCACAACTACTAAGGAAAGGTATCAGGCACCCTAAATAGCTTTACCTCTCGAATCCAGATTTGGTTTAAAGGCCATTTCTCTTAAAGGTTTCCAACTGAGCCTTTTAAATTAAATTGAGGTGGCTACTCCATTTTCATTTTCTTGTTTAAAAAAAAAAAAAAAAAACTTTAGCATTTATTTTTTTACATCATTTAGTTAAAAAACTGGCATCAGAGTGGATTTAACCGTGAACAAGGCAGAATAGAGACAAAAAATTTCATATAGCCAACACCAACTAATTTGAGATTAAGGCTTAGTTGTTATTGCTGTTGTTTTATACCGCATTCAGGATTTCCAAAACATTGTGACAAATGCCAACAGGTTTTATGTTGAATAAAGGGGACCTTATCTTTAGTTAAAATTGTGATCTGAAAGGTAACAAAAGAAAAGGAAAAGAAAAAGCCCTTTGTTTGAACTAAATATTTTTTTGGACTCAAATATTTGTTAATATCAAGAAAAGCACTGATGCAAGCCACAAACAAATGGCAATATTACACAACAAAAAATATTGAACAAATATTATTTATATTATTCCATTATTTCTATCTCATTCTTTATATTGATACTCCAAAGGATCAATTTCAGCACTCAAATTCAAGAGTAAAAGACATTCTAAAAGTTCAATATAAATGCCTAGTGGAGGCAACATATGTATACTAGCAATTGAGTTTCCAAGAGATATCAGTTACTTCCTTTCTTCATCATAGCACTAGACCTGGATGGTAAGTTCAATTATATCATTCCCCTCACCTGATCCTCCCTCTTTTACCACAATACTCTCCTTGTCCCCTCATCCCCCCAGAGAAACCAATCCCCAAAACAGAAACAGACAATCCACCCTAAACTCACAACACATGTTGCAAGTGCTTTCTATTTAGTATTGCTCTTCAAAAGAGTTTAGCTCTCATAGCAAGCCAATCTGCCCCCTGCCCCTCTCCCAGTTATCTTATTTCTCACAATACCTAATTTGGTGCCACTAATAAACCCTATTTATACTCCTCTCAACATCAGTAGATCTCTTACTTAGTTTCACTAAAGTTTAAGAGGAACGAAGTAACAAACATGACCAAGAGCAACAAAAACAATTCAGTAATTGCTCACAGGGACTTCAAACCTCAAAGAATTGGTGGCGATTTTTTGATAATGCAGGATCTCTGCATGGCAGTGTTTCTCCAAAACATTTAAAAGAATTAAGAATAAAATAAATAGTGGCTCCAAGTGTGTGTGGTGTTCTCTCGATGAAATTAGACTCCTTAGCGTCTGCCTGTTTGGCCACTCTTCCGGGCAGTAGTGGTCCTTTGTTACTTATTTGTTAAGATGACGAGTGGATATGTGCTATCAGTTGATGGCAGTAGATCAGGGCGATGGTATATTCATTATGCTTTGTCTGAAATTAATTGAAGCTATTGATGACTTTATGATTTTGAGTTGATAGAAACTAGGCCTATTTTGGACACCTTTTGTTGACAACCATACCATTTATAAACCAGAGAAACAAAACAGTTCTTTGTTTTTTTAAGAGATGAAAACCCGAAACAGTACTAAATACAGCTCCATATTTTCAGGCAAGGGCAGTGTGGTTGAGTTCATTCTTCTATGCTTTGATAATTCAAGCAATCAGGAGTACAGGTTGTCTAAAAACAACAAAAACAAGTACTATAATTTATTGCCCCAGCATCACAAACACCACATCATGCAGCCCATGTGAAAGTGTAATAACCTAACCTTGCGTTTATTCATGCATTTGAATTTAAATTTCCAATTCCAATAATGAAATTTTAAATTTTAAATTCATGGATTTAAATCAAGAGGGGCTGGAAGGGATGAAATGAATAGAATCCATCAGTTTTTTTAGCCTTCAAACTTTTTTATAAATTTCACTCAAATCCAAATCCACAAAAATTTAGCAAATCCAAGGATCGGATATGTCCAAATCCATGAAAACACAACAACAAAGGCATATTGAAGGTATTTTAATGCTTGACTCTAATATTACAGCATTGATATCCATCACTTTAAACCTAAAAATTTTTTAAGCATATTAAGAAAATTAAAATCCAAACCACACAAAAAAGACTATAAAAATTGTATAACAACTAAGAGTAGAAGTTATCATAAGTGCAGCAACAACATATATGAGCAAATCAAAATTCTACCTCAAACGCTCTTGAGTCCTATTTTTCCAATACTGTGCTGTCACATGTGAATCAATCATAGCACCGGCAACCAAAGGAAGGTGCTTGACATAATCCAATTTGAAATAATGTCCACGCATTTCATGGATCCACCACAACAATTTTGGAAGAACACGAGGAATGTGTTCCTTCGGGACTATATCCAGCCATTTCCCAGCAACAGCAGTATTCAAAACAACCATATCAGCTTTAAGAGCATTACCTATAGCTTCTTGACTTCTTGGAGGTAACACCTAAATGTGCATACAGTAGTATAATAGAAGCTTTGAGAAGAGTTACCAAAAAAGAAACTTTCATCAATAGAAGATAAACATAGGCAGAGCAGAACCAAAACGAGCAGACTCATTATCATAAATGGACTCGACTAAAATAACAACATGAATATAATACCAAAATAATTAGTATAGATAGAAGGAACTTCATAAGTTAACTATTTAAGAATAGGGATTGAATGCCAAGTCATTTAAGAAATATTGTGCTAGAGCTAAAAGTACAATTTCTCAGCTAAATATGCACACATGCTGAAATTTAAGATGAATTAGAAATACAATACCTGCACTCCTCGGACTAGCATCTTTTGCTCTAAACTGTATATCACCTCATCAGTTCCTGAAGATTTCTGGATGGTAATCCAACAAACTTCAGCACCAACACTTCTTAATAGAAAAGCTAACTCCATCAGCAACAGTGGTCCACCTGAAAAAGAAAATGCATAGAATATTAGCATATCAGCAAAAGTTAAGCAGAAATAATATGAAACAATTACAAGGGTAAAAAGAATGAAGAGAGAGAGAGTTGTGATGGAGAAAGTAACATACATGCACATGCTACCAAGAGTTTATTCTTTGGATTGGATTGAAATATGAAAGTCGGGATATATACGTAAATAACAACATAATTTTAGCCGTATACCTGTTATCATAATTCCTCATAGTACTAAATAGGAAATTTCATTATTAACTATAAGGAAGCCTGACAATATTTTCTGAATTATAACCACCACCACAAGTTAAGACGACCTTAACAGTTGAGGCATGCAAATGTTTTTTTTTTTTTTTTTTTTTTTTTTTTTTTATACCTGTTATCATTAATTCGCTCATAGTACTAAATAGTAAATTTCATTAATTAACTATTAAGGAAGTCCTGACAATATTTTCTGAATTATAACCACCACCACAAGTTTAAGACGACCCTTAACAGTTGAGGCAATGCAAATGTTTTTTTTTTTTTTTTTTTTTTTTTTTTTTTGAAAGTTTGTCTTAGACATTAAGTGTTTTTTTTTTTTTTTTTTTTTTTTTTTTTTGAAAGTTGTCTTAGACATTAAGTGTCAGATTATTTGTTCAATGCACTTATTATGATAAGGATACTCTCATATCCCAAATGAAGCATGTCGACAACATCAACAGTGTTTGGAAGGTTCCTCCTACAAGTGGCAGTACACTGTGTACTGAATAGAAGTTAAGAAAAAGCATACTTCCAAAGAATATAAAAATACCGACAAGACAAGTATAGCAGAAATCCAATGCATCATTTGCATGTCGTAGACGTGAACGACAAATAAGCCTTTCAACATTCATGCCAAAAAGTTTGAGATTGATAAGCAATCCAGCCAACTAAGGATCATCCTTAATCCCTATTACAAATAAGTGCAGTGCTGAAATTTCCCTTGAGAGAAGTAGAACTATGAATTCTTTTAGTAAAGGTGGCTTAATCCATGCATTAAAAATGTGTACAAGCATGGGTTTCTCATGAAATGGAAAGATACGGTAATATGCAGAGGCATTTCCTAATTTCAAACAGTTCACACTGTTTTCCATCAATGGAATTGAACTTAATTGGAATTCTACGATAGAAATCATTTTATCTTCAGAATCAATCAAACAATAGGGAGATGATATATGTTCCTCATGCAGCAATAACGCAACTTTTTTTTCGTCCTTTCAACTCTTCATCAAATCAAACTAAACACTAAACTGAAACAGCCCACTGATTCTAACACAATGACTTTATATATCAATGCATTTCTACACTTGCCAAAATTTAATCATCAGCAAACAGTCACTTATCTGGCTTATAACCTTAAGACTAACCATTTATGAAAGATATACACATATGCTACAATATATGGCTTCAGAGGCTGATATTAATGCGATAAACAGAATTCACACTTTAAAGTATGAATTAAAGAAGGAAACTTTTTAATTAGCATGCATATTTAATTTCCATGAACAAAAAGTTAATTATGTTTTCATGAAGCTTTAATTAAAAAAAAAAAAAGGAAAATAAAGGGAAAAGCCACTATTGTCAGATACTCTGCCAAAATCAGGTCATAAAAGAAATTGAAAACTAACTGCAGTTCAACAAAAAAAAAAATTATAAACTCGAAACAATTAATATCACTTTCTTCTCAAAATACAAAAGCTGAGCTACAAATAAAGATAATACCAGATAAAGATAGCTCATGCGAGACCAAGAGAACAAGCTTGGACTTCATGAAACTAAGAGGATTATCAGTAGTAGCTTTGATTGGCGAAGCAGTAATCGAGCGAAGTGGTTTTTGAACAACTTCAAATTGACGATCGCATGAATCGAAGGCGGTTTTCATTAAGAAAGCGATAGCCATAGAGAGCGAAAGCATGACTAAGAGAGCTAACAGCCATCGCCTCTGGAACGGAAGCCAACCAACAGCGTGTTTCGCCATTTCTTCGATTTCGACTTCTAGTTTTAGGTTTAGGTTTTGGTATCAGCAGTTTCTGCATTTTAGGGTTGGGATGAGTGAGGTAGAGATATGGCTTCTGTACATTTGGCTCTTTGGAGCAGACACTTGTATAGAGGTTTAAGGATTCGTTTTTTGATTTTGTCACTTTACCACTTTACCGTTTCAGAGACATCGATCCATCCGTAACTGCTACAATTGACCATGCAGCTGGTTAGCTCACTTCTTCGAGGTTGGCCTGGAATTTTTTCTTCTAATTTCTTTTTCCTAATTATAAATTTTAAACGAACTTAAATAATTTTTCTTTAATTAATTATAAACTTTAAACGAGCACAATTTTCGATTTTTAAATTTGAATCATACTAAAGGAGGCTTGATTTGAGTTCAAATCAACCTCAAACCAAAATTAAGCTTAAATATACTTTTAATAAATCAGGTTCGACCTCATTTGTTGTCTCACAATTTTATAATAAACCATATATAATTGTTAATTAATTTAATACAATTCTTTGAAAGAAGACAATTAGTTTTATCAATTCGACTGGTAAATCTAATCCGAGTCAGACATATCGATTCATCCTTAAATTATTTTATAAATAAACTAGAAAAATTCTACGAACCCGACTAGCTTGATAAATAACATGATAATCCGTAAGCGAATTAAACTGTTTGCGAGTTTAAATTTAGTGAGTAAAATGTTATTTATTTTTTACGTATTTAAATAATTACTAGTATTAAAAACGTGCTTTGTACGTTAAAACTCATTATACATATCCTTTTTTTCTAAATATAATTAAAATGGGACTAAACTCCTAATTAGAATGAGCTAAACCTATAATATTAAAATAATATATTTCTTTTTATTTCTCACTAATGAAATAAATTTTATAAAAAAAATTTTTATATTTTTTGCAAGCACCATTGGTATTCTTTACTCGCACGTATACATATGAAAACTAAATAAAATTAGCCTATCTTTTTATAACTATACTTCGATGAGGAAGATTAAAAAAATATAAAAATAAAGGCAATTTTATAACATGCATAAATTAATTAAGGGCAATTTTGACATTCCTAATGTTCCCTATTCGTACTTTTTTATATACTAGTCTTTTGTATGATGTGAGTTACACGTTGATTATACTCGTTATATACTTATTATATATATATATCGAAGACTAGAAGTAATTTATTGTAGAGAAAAATGCACTTCTCTTTTTGTGAGTATTATCATGTATAAATACCTCATTCCATGTTTACAATTCCCCTCATACAAAAAAATAATCTCTGACTCTCTCTATTCTCATATTATTCTCTTACTCTACATCTCTCTAATTTTCATTTCATAATATTATGTGTCCAAAATCATTGGAAAATAATTTTTTTCAAAGTCCAATTCTCCGATTATTTGTCCAAATTATTGTGAATTAATTCTTCAAATTTCAATCTTCTAATTATTCTCTCTAATTTTTTTTATTCAATTTTTCAAGTTACATATTATTTTCCTATAATGGCAAGTTAGAGGAAACTCAATAAGTTTCGCTTAAGGGCAACGAGAAATATTGAGAAAACACAATATTCAATTCTATCCCTACAAACGACCTATACATTCGATGAGGAAGATTTAAAAAAATATAAAAAATAAAGGCAATTTTATAACATGCATAAATTAATTAAGGGCAATTTTACATTCCTAAATGTTCCCTATTCGTACTTTTTTATTACTAGTCTTTGTATGAATGTGATTACACGTTGGATTAACTCGTTTATATACCTTATTATATATTATATTAGTATATTATAATAATTATAAATTATTAAAAATAAAATATTTTATATTATATATATATCAAAAGTTTTGTTTAGATTAAATAAATACAATATGCGTTAATTTGCATAATCACTTTTGCCATATATTAGATTACTTGTAATGTTACTGTTATGTACTTAATGTTATTTTTATTATAATGAAGTGATCTTTAGAATTAAAGTTAAAAACACAATTCTTAGACCTTTAATCCTTTAGGCCTAATTTATAAATGCAAGATTTTTAAAAATCTTAATAGTGTTCAAAAAGGGTGTTCAAAAAGAAAATCAAGTCATCACTTAATCTCCAATTTCAACTCTCAACACAAATCAATATCTATATACAACTATAATAAAGAATAATAATAAACTATTTTTACTGCTAGGTCAAAGAAAAGAAATGAGAAGATGATCTGAATTGATAATGGAAATCACTTTGACCACAGTGAGAGTATTATTTAATTTGAACTAAGTCCATGCTTGGTGGTCGAGATATGTTTTCATAACTTGTTATCATTAGTAGATGTTCTAATGATCAAGATAGAATAAAAATGAAAATTGTTTTGTAATGGCAGTATGTATTTTGTTAAGCTCATGACCTATAGCTTTTAATACGAGTATATGAAGTGGTAATCAAGTTCTTAAATAGGGAAATGTGTTAAGCAACTCATTAAGTATAAATTTTAATATAAAAATCCAAGGTTCCCTTGATATGGCAACAACTAGTTGAGCCATCTACATTTGACTTTAACTTGATGAAAAGGAGATAGTATTGTATATTTAAATTTGGATAGAGAATGAACAAGCTACGTGAGCAGAATATGAGTTTTAAATATAAATTTAGAATTCTATTGTTATAACTGTCTCCACATTACTCTATTATTGAGCTTTGAAGATGATGGAATGAAAATTGATGCACAAATGAATAGATAATAAACTCCTTGTAAACATAAATAGTAAGAAATTGAGAAAAGATGGACCTATGTGTAGCCTGTGTAACAAGGTTGCTGCATTAGCTTTAGGAACATATTTTAACTGAGTATTAGAATTAAATAATTAATATTTTATTTTAGTACTTAATAAAAATATTATTTCAATTTCATATTTAGTTTTGAATAATGGATTCAAATTTTTACTATTTAGAACAATAGTTGTTTTTTTTATAATAAAAATATTTTTCATAACTAATCTCATTTGATCTTTAAAATCTAAAAAACGAAGATTAAGAATTCTTTTTTTTCAAAAATATATCATGGCACTAATTTATGTAACAAGTTACTAGATTAAAATTAATCCAATAGATTGTAATTAAAAGATTAATATCTAACGATATAATTATTCCTTTAATACAGAATATCATCGTTCTCCACCATATACGAATTGAAAAATGACACATCTTCGCCCCCGTCTCACAGCCATCCTCGGCCGCCGCTTCTAGTCGTCCGCCGCCAGAAAGGTGCCCATTCTCCACGAAAGCCCAGAAATCAACGACCAAAATCGGAACGATGTCGTGACACTACAGCTCCTCTCGTGAGGAAGAGGTGCTTCTGGCCAGCTTGGTGGCGGCATCGAAGAAATACGACTATACCCCACTCCAGTGGCCAATCTTCAGGTATTACCATCATCTTTCAGGCTCTATTCAACCCCAGGCCAACTTCTTCTCAGAGATAACCCGCTTCTAGTCGTCCGCCGCCAGAAAGGTGCCCATTCTCCACGAAAGCCCAGAAATCAACGACCAAAATCGGAACGATGTCGTGACACTACAGCTCCTCTCGTGAGGAAGAGGTGCTTCTGGCCAGCTTGGTGGCGGCATCGAAGAAATACGACTATACCCCACTCCAGTGGCCAATCTTCAGGTATTACCATCATCTTTCAGGCTCTATTCAACCCCAGGCCAACTTCTTCTCAGAGATAACAAACAACAAGTAATTGAAATGGGAATTTCTTATGGATTATTTCACTCTGCATTGCTTATAGATGGTAATTTCTGGATTTGGGGAAAAGGGGATGGGGGACGGTTGGGCTTTGGACACGAGAATCCTGCGTTTGTTCCTACGCTAAACCCTAATTTGGATAGCGTTCGCTGCATTGCTTTGGGTGGTATTCATTCTGTCGCCCTCACTTCCTTCGGCCAGGCCTTTTCATGGTCAGTACTTTTAATAGCGTCCTTTTATGAACTTGAATTGTAAAATATTTTTTTGAAATCCCTATATAAAGTTTTGATCTTTTTTACTTTACGAAGAAATCCATTGTAAGTTCCGATGTTTATGCAAGTAGTGCTTGACACTATGAAGTATTGGCTGTATTGCTATTGACGAGTTGCATGTATCTATTTCACTATATTGACCTGACCACGAAGTCGGTATACATAACTTGATAGTGTTGTGTCATTGAAATTGAAGTCTGTAGGGGTTATGGTGGTTTTGGTGCACTGGGACATTGTGTTTATCACAGAGAGCTGCTTCCTAGATTAGTTGAAGGCACTTGGAATGGAAAAATAAACCATATTGCAACTAGTGGCACACATACTGCTGCTGTTACTGAATCAGGTTAGTTAATCTTTTCTTATTCATGTACTAAAAATAAGGATTTTAATTTTCTATGCAAACCTTAGGAATTAGGATTTATTCCCCACAAAGTTTACCTGTTAGGCAGGAAATGGCCATGATTTTTTTTATCGTGCCAATTTGGTGATGCTTCTCTGTTGATTTCAGTAATCATTTGGATGTAGGGGAACTTTATACATGGGGACGAGATGAAGGTGATGGTAGGTTAGGCCTTGGCCCTGGGTGGGGCCGAAATGAAGGGGGTGGACTTAGCATCCCTTCCAAAGTCAAAGCGTTGCCTGTTCCTGTTGCTACTATTTCCTGTGGTGGTTTTTGTACAATGGCATTGACGGAGGATGGGCAGATTTGGAATTGGGGAGGTAAGGATGTTACTTCCTTTGGTGTGAAATTTATGTTCGTTTTCCTTTTCTGTATTGCAATATAGATTCATTGACGGAGGATGGGCAGATTTGGAATTGGGGAGGTAAGGATGTTACTTCCTTTGGTGTGAAATTTATGTTCGTTTTCCTTTTCTGTATTGCAATATAGATTCAAGTATTTGATTTAATTTTGAAGAAAATCTCACGCACTAACTGTTGATTCAAATTCTTGCAAAAATCAAAAAGGTGTTGAAGTCGGTTGCTCGTTGCATTTAGTTGCAACCGATTTCAATTTTTCTCTAAATTGAGGCAGAAAATTGTTAAGATCTAATGTATGAATATGAATATTAACTGGTGTGATCTGTTGATGCATTGCTAATTTTCTGTGCTGGAATAAGTTTTTATTTGCTTCACATTTTTTATGATATTGAATAAACAAGCCTAATTTTAGCATTTTTATATTTTACTCAGCAAATTCAAACAATGAGCTTGGAAGAGGTGACAAGGTTGGTGGCTGGA